AATTGGAGATCTCACCTCATTTGTTTTCCTTATTCAGTTATTACAGTCTTGCACTGCCCATTTGCCAATCTTGGAAAATCATTGCTTCATACATTTTGTCTAATCTTTTAATTATTTATGGTACAAGAGCAAATCTGACTAGAATTGAAAATCCCTCAGTTTATAATTTGTGAAATTTGTGAAATTATTTGTGAAATTTGCTACTTATCTTACAAAGTTAGTTGTAAAATACACATGCTATGACATCTTCTGGTTTAGCCTGCCCCTCTATTAGAATCTTTAAATTGTTTTGAATTGTTTGATTCCCAAAACATCTTAATATGGAAAAAAAATATTTGATACAAATTATTGGTTTAGTCCAATTTTTTCTTTCTTTTTTTCTTTTCTTTTCTGTTTTGGGCTTTCCCTCGATTTTTCCACTCTCATCACACCTACCAATACCCACGCTGTGTACTCTGGGTTTGTTGAATCATCCATATAGACCTATCTGCTCTCTCTTCCTGATCAGTGGCACCTAGAAAATCTTGTTATTCTATTCTTTAAGTACCCTATAACCTTCCACTCCAAAACCCTTGGAAGTTTATATTTTGAAAGGAGTTCAGAGTGGCTAGAAAATGGTCCAAGTGTTATACAACAGGATTGACCAGTATATAAACCTTGGATAAGCCAACCAGATCTGTAAAGCCTTATTTGTGATCCAAAGAGAGTAAAGTTGATCTAGAATTATGCAATCCAAAACAGTAGCCACTAGCCCATGTGACCGTTGATCATTTGAAGTGTCTACTGTCACATGTTGAAATAATATTTTAGATATATTGGATTATAAAAATATTTTTAATTAATTTCATTGGTCTCTTTTTACATTTTAAAATGTGGTTTATATTATATTCCTTCTTTTTTTAAAAATGCTTCCACTTTGTCTATATATATTCCTTTTGAACAGTGCTCATCTAGAAAACACAGGGCATGAGAAGGAAGGCTGGGGTTTTAAGGATAATAGCCCGACCAGTCTGTATTTTAGAACTAGCTATCTGGAAGTGTGTAGAAAAGATACAAAAGAGGAACAGTGTGAGGGCAAGGAGAGAAGTTAGACGACTACTGTGATGGCCCAGGAAAGAAATGATTGTCACATTCAGTATCACAAAAGTTGTATTTCTATTTGATAAAAGTGTCATTTAATTCATTAGTAGTAGGAAAACAAAATACAAATAAAACAAAAAAATTAGAGTATCCACAGAGTATTTGTGTAAATTTGTTGTGGAAAGCAAATACCCAGTCTTACAAACATGTGTATGGGCACACGCTAGCATCTCTTGCTGTGCTCATTCTTCCCCGTATTTTAGTTCAACACTAGACTAACACAGCCTGTGAGAACATGGCCTTCTGTGGACTGGCACAAACAAGTCATTTGCGGATGGTGGAAAGAACTTGTCCCTCCAGACTTAGCTCTGCTGCTTACCAATGTTGTGTTCCTGGGCAGGTTACTTAAACTCTCTCTGTCTCCTTGTTTCCATGAGAAAAATAGCTAATACTTCAACAGGTCCAATGAGAGATTAAATTCAAAACCTCAAAAAGTAAGGAAATTTGAATAATTAATGCTATAAAATTGTAGGTATTCTTGTTCTGTTCCACAAGTAAACCATATTCATGTATAAAAGGAGGTTTACTATGATATCACTCCCTGGTCCTGAGTGAGCTAGACCCACTCACATTAGGCAGGATGGTTGCTCTGGAAGATGTGAAGCAATAACACCAAGATCTCCCCAGTATTTTCTACTCGGGGAATTTTGGGATGCTATGGAAACCACATCCTCCTTCCCTTTGAGGGCCCTGGCAAGAGGCTGAGCAAGATAAGTGGAGGCAGGCCAGGCTCTTTGAAGGTTAAGTAAATGAGACCTTGTTTGGCTAACAGGCTGGTCATCTGGCCACACAGGTGCTCCAAGCCCTTTCTTTTTCTCACCTGGAGTTTGTTATCACAAGGTTGCCAGGATCAGAGCCTAAACTTAAATCAATATTTTACTCCTCTGCCAATACAAATAACTACTTGATTGGAAGCTTCCAAATTTGGCATTGTTATTTCTAAATGTCCAAGGTTTCAGAGTCAAAGTTGAATTGTTATGCAATGTTCTGATAAATCTAGGGCAGATGGAATTATTTCTCAGTAAGAGCCTATGTTGGCTTTCAATGTCATGAGGTATCTAGGTGAGGACTGTCAAGGCTCCATCACCATCAAAAAGTCTTATCTTCATATCTGCAATCCCGAGATATGGGGAGCAACAGAGGCTGGTGGAAAGCAGGGTTTGAGTGGTAGCTCCACTCCAATTCTGGCCTTTGAGAGTCTCCTATGTACCCAGAACATTGAGCTGCTCCAACTTCACTAAACAGTATCTGAGGGCCTAGGCAACATTGGGTGAATTTTCACTAAACCCTGGGTATCATATGGCTTCATATTACCTGTGAAACAATGGTCACCACCAGGGACTGAATTGAAAAATGCCCATTAAAAAATAAAATGCTGCAAAAATGAAGTGAAGACTTGAACAATTGCTTTTTAAAATTTGGGAAATGGCAGGAAAGAAGTTTTTAAAAACCAAGTATTAGAAAAAATCTGTCCAAGTATTTATGTTATGTCTAAGTACCATCCAAATTTCATGGTGAAATGTACAGCCCAGCATTTGGTACCCAAACTGTTCATGGAAGTAGGAGAAACAGCACGTAAATAATCTCTATTTGTTATGGTAATGCTAACTGCGATATACTCAAATTTCAGGGCTTAAAGTAACAAAACTTATTTCTTGCTCACGTACAATTTAAAATGATCGGTGGGTGGCTTTACTCTATGAAGCCTCCTTCCATCTTATGGTTCTGCCAGATTCAACACATGGCCTTGAAGGTTTTGTGTTTGTCTGCATCAAGCCACAGAAGAGAAGGAACATGCAGGACCACGTGTGGGTTTTTATGAACAGGACTGGAACTGGGGCATATCCATGCATTCATATCTCATTGGCCAGAGTTGGTCACCTGGCCCCATCTCCCTGCAATGGAAGTTACGGAATAGAATCCAATTCTATTTCCTGTATGAAGATACCAGGAAATCTGACACATACTATGTAAATAGACACTCCTAGATAGCACCTTAGTGGTCTAAATGAACAGTATGGGTTATAAAATTTCACAACCCAGCTAAAGAGTTCAGTTGAATTGAATTTAGGTGAAGTCAATCATCCAGAGATGACATGGTAGACTGCTGATTCTATACCATTCCTTTGTTCATTTTTACAAATTTGAGAACTTTAATTAAAATTTGAATATATTGTAGTTTACAAAATAATTCCCTATAGACTCTACTCTGTGTTTCATAATGTGGTGACTTTTTATCCTAATTCTTTGGACCATATTAAACAAAGGTTGCCCTAATTATGGATTAAATTGTATACTATCTAAAATGCCAGCTTAGAAATTTTGTGGGAGTTACTTGGTAATTCCCACAAAATGTAAATTCCTCCACAGTGAAGACTTGCTCCCATAGAATATGACTCTAACGTCTATGTAGCATTACCATGCCTAAATGCTGTAGAAATGTAATACTTCAGTTCTGAGAAACTTCTGTATAGTTTTTTTTATTTTTGCCAGGTTTTTTTCTGTTCATTTGTTTTCTTGTTTTCAGTAAAAGAGGCTTCACAGTTCTTTACTATGAGATTGTGGAGGCAGTTGTTACTATAGAAGTTATACAAAATATTAACAAATTATATTTCATGGCCATTCCCTCATTTGTTTGTTCATTCATTCAACAAGGAAGTGTTGAAGGCCTGTTATGTACCAAGCACTGGGCTAGATGTTAAGCTGTGACCCAGAGAATTCCAGCCTTCTCTGAGTCTATGACCCACCAATGATGGTGATGGGTTTCAAGTGAGGGAAGGGAAGGCTTTTTTAGAGGCAACTGCAGAATCACCTTAATCAGGGCTGGAGAAGACTCCCAAAGAGAATCATAGACTGAAATATGAAGGATTAGGTGGGAATTTGCCATGGCTCCTGTCCGCGGAGTTCCTTCCTTGTTATTTCTGCCTTTATTTTAACATTTCCCTTGCCGAAATTTCCTTGTACACAAATAATTTTGTTGCTATTTCTCTGTACCTATAAACTTTGTCAGGGGGCTGAATTATATTTGACCATTTCTGACCTACAAATGTGACAATTGCATATCATTTAACCTATATCTGTGAAACTGTCTGGCTAAATGGTCCTGCTCTCTTAAAAATATAGTGTCATTGTGGTCTTTAAAATTTATTGTAAGAAATCCATCATACACTAAAAAACATCCCAGTTTCCTTCGAACATTTTTCTTTCAGATCATTTTTCCCAAGTTAAATCTTATTTTTCTATCTTCTTCATAACTTCATCTGGTGGTGGGGTCACTGATTTCACCCTTATGTTCTCAGCAGTACCCTAATTCCTTTTGTTAGCTTGTTTATTCTTTCATCCGTGTTATTGTTGAGAAATAAACTAGTTCTATGGAGTATCAAAATATCAGCTGCTTTTCAGGAAAAAATGAACTCTTTTGAAGGCTTGCTTCTGTTTCTCTGTTTGTAAGGGTAAGGTAAGGTTATACAAAAACTGCATGAATTGGTAATACGTTCTTGGTATTTGTTTTCAAGACTGCTGTTACATATCTATGAAAACGTTTTAGCTGCATGCATGCCCACAGACCTGCACAGGGAATTATAAACTGAAAAAGGGGCAGGAAAACTAGACCCTTCACTACATGGAAATTATGGTGATTCTGAGCATTACATACTCACTTATCTACCTTTCTCTCATCTTCCCACAAGTACTGTGGGAAACTTTACCTACTTGCCTGCTCTGTCAACTTTGGTTTACCTATGATTAAAATTAGAAATATATCCTTGGAACTTTCTCTCTTGTCATGCCACTTTTCCATGATACTGCTCAAAAAGATAAGGTTTGCCTATAAAAGGACCTTTCAGTGCTAGCTGGTTGTGTGCGGAACCTGAGGGAACTGCCACGGTGAGTCCAGAACACGATTTCCAGGCCCAATTTATCAGAATCTACCCATTTTCCCCCAGAGGTCTAAATGAACTTGAATTATGCCAATCTTTTAAAAAACTTTTTAAGCCAGACTCAATCATGTTTTTAACTTTGTGTAGATGTTGCTACTCTGGACACTTTCACTGCTGCTGGGAGCAGTAGCAGGTAAGAAAACATATTTATGTGGAGTTCGGGGAGATTCACGGCCCAGTCCTTTCAAGAGGGACTGTGACAGCTGAATTTAAGCAACTATGAGGACAAGGGATAAAGTGAAGGAGCTGTATGATAAGGAACACAGGTGCTTGGAGTAGAGTTGCCAGATCAAATCTAAGATATCCAGTTAAATTTGAATTTCATATAAACGACAAATATTTTCCACAATGAATATGTGACATATTGATTGTTTATCTGAAATTCAAATTGACCTTCTATTTTTATTTGGCAAACTTAGCCCCCCTAGCTTGGAGTCAAGTTGGCTTTGAACCCTGGTTCTACCACCTACAACTGCATCACCCCGAGCAAAATCCTTAACTCCTTGGTGCTTCAGTATCTTCCTCTATGAAATGGGGATAATGATATTATTATTATTATTGTGAAATCTCTCATAGGATTATTATGAGAATTAGGTAACATAAGTAAACCATCTTGCCCAGCACCTGGCACAGTAAGATTTCAAGAAATGTTGCCCCCACAACAGCTACTACTGTTACTCCTACCGTTTATATAGTTTATCCTCCTCAAGTAGGAGAGAGAACCTTCCCTTTAAGTTGTTCCCAAATGGGGTAACATTCAAGCCTAGAGTTGTGTCAAACCTTGGATTTCTTTGTTTGATTGTCTGTGAGCAGCTTTTTCACCACAGGAATGGCGATGTCTTTCATCACAGCAAAGATAGAGATATATAGTTCTAGCCTTTCTATGAAATTTAAGCTCTCCATTCAAAGCCCAAAGCCAGTGGTGGCTACAAGAATTGAGATCCTCACTCCCTCATCAAGGCCTGGGGACACACAGCTGCTCCTTTCTGGGGCACCAATGGCCCAAGGAAGACATCTGAGTTTAGAGGCCAAAATGAGTCCCAGATAGAGACCGGGCAGAGACACAGGGGGAGTGAGGTGATCCCATGTGTCAGAAATGAGGAACAATAGCCTGTCTGTAGCAGCGGTGTTGTCTTTTGAAGCTCTTTGTAAGTGTGGCTAGGAGGGTTTTTCAGAAAGAAGAGTAAAATCTGCCATTAAATGCAATTAAATCATATTTGGCAGAGAGTCTATTAAAAAGAACTTTCTGGTTTAAACTAATACCCTTGAAACTCTTCTGGGGCATTGCAGGAAACGAAGTCTGTTACTCAAGACTTGGCTGCTTCAGTGATGATGTCCCATGGGCAGGAATTTTGGAAAGACCCTTCAAAGTACTGCCCTGGTCTCCAGAAGATGTCAACACCCGCTTCCTACTATACACTAATGAGAACCCAAACGACTTCCAAGTAAGAATGTTCATTGTTTTCAGGACTAAGTTCTATCTGTTTTATGTAATGAGGATACTGAATACTCAAGTCTTCTGAAGAGAACAAATCGGAATGGAATTTGCATAATTGTAGACTTCAGGGCAGTGAGCTTAAGTATTATTTTATGTAAATTGTTTCTAAAAGGTCCATTAACTTCATATTATTATTGTCCTACTGCCATGGCACCATTTAATAAATATTCTAAATATGGGGAGATATTTATATATATATATAATATATAAACTTTTCCAATATTATATATAGGAAATCTCCCAAGATTATATTTATATGTATCTCTATATTAGAGATACATACATATGTAGATACACGCACAGCCTTCCACTGTGTGAAGACAAGACCTTTACCACCAAGATTACAGCAGACATATAATCCCAAATTGAACAACTGTAAACATGTGATGACTGGCAAACAGTAACATGATAAAGATTATAAATAGCATGGTTGTAATGGAGGTATCCTTACTCACAAGGATCCTAATCTCAGCATTCTTTTCCTACTTACCACCTCCCTCCATGTACACATGGTTCTACTGGATACTATAAGAAATAATATGAAACACTTTTCTGTCCAAAATAGGAAATTGTTGCAGATCCATCAAGTATCAGTGCCTCCAATTTCAAAACAAACAGAAAAACCCGCTTTATTATTCACGGATTCACAGACAAGGGAGAAGAAAGCTGGCTGTCCGATATATGCGAGGTGAGACGTGGTAATCTGGCAAGGAAAGGTTGTTTCCAGAGTGATAATTAACAACCTGTAAGGCACTGGCCATAACCAAGGCACACAAAGGCTGGTCACCACAGCACTGAAGGATCCTCTAACCCCTGCTGGGCTTGAGGTTCCTAGGGGAGGTCCCAGAGGTGGTGGTGGCACAAGGGGCCCTAGGATGGTCAGGGCAGCTAGGTTGGCAGGCATTTGGTGGTTTCAGGCAGTGGTTATTTAATAACTAATACAGAGATATTTCAAAATGTTAGCAACAGATACTGCCATACCAATGCATACCAGCTGGTCATAGGCCCCTGTTTTTTCATTACCTTTTAATTTCCATGTGAAGAGCTAAGCAATCTCATTTTATCTGAACTAATTCTTTTCCTCTGATTTCCACTTGCTACTCTTTGATCTCCTTTGGTAGCAGTATCTAGGAAAACTGTGTAGATTTTCATTTCTGGCTTCTGTTATTTCAACACCAGTGATCCTATTTTCTTCAATTTGCCTTTGACTAGATAATGAAGAATTAAAAGACAGAAAATCAAATAGCATAAATGATGCTAGTATTTCTGGGGGGTGATTACTGGGGGGAGGGTAATGACACATTTCTACACAATAGTGATGAAAAAATGTGATTTTTAGTTCAAAAGGAATATAGCTTTGTTAGGTATGTATATAGAATTTGCTCCCAAGATCCTGGAAGCAGTTGTGTTCTTCTTTTACTTGGCTTGGCTTTGACAAAATTACTGCATTAAGATGGAAAAACAATCAGATTCAAGTAGAAAGATAAAGGTCCTAGATTCCAGTCCTGACTTTCCCCTTAGTTGACTATGACGTTAGCCACCCTTTTCCCTTCTTCAGATTTTTCCTTTGGTAAAATGAAGGAGATGAAGATGATTTCTAATATTTCTTCATTATTCTCCAATTCTTTCTGGAGAAAGGTGGGGATATGTTTAAACACCCACTCAAACAAAATTTATACCAGAATTAACATTCATAAAACCCCCATCAAACAGGGTTTCCAGTAGATATCTGGTACAGTATGTTTTCATGTGAAATAACTCTTCAGTGATGTACAATACAAAGCATTCACCCAAAAAGTTTGATTAATCTTTCTATCACAGAAAACCTTACTACTTTCAATATATTCATTTAAGTGGTCTTAACATAGCCTTTCCTTCATTCAGCAAATATTTATTGAACACCTACTATGTTCCACAAACTAGACACTGAGGGTACAGCAGTGAACAAAACAGGCCATGTCCTTGTGTGCATCCTAGTAAGGGACGATGTAGTCTTATAACATTTAGGATGACCTAATGAACAACCCATTGTACCACATTTTACATATTTTATCTCAAATTAAATGTCTATGTATCTGTTACAGTAGAAATCCCAGGATTCCAGTTCCCATTACAGCCAAACCTCCAGCTTGGAGCCATATCCATAACAGACCAGAAGTTTTGTTCATTGCTTTGCGGTTAAAAGTGACATGATATTAAGTAGGTCAAGGAGGGAATTGATCTTTGTCCTCAAATGTGTTAATTAATAATCGATAAAGATCCTATATTATTTACCTATTTATTGTGTCTTCCATCAGAGACTGTTCGAGGTGGAAAGTGTGAACTGTTTCTGTGTGGACTGGAAAGGTGGCTCCCGAACTACTTACACACAGGCCTCACAGAATATCCGGATTGTGGGAGCAGAAGTGGCTTATTTTGTTGAAGTTCTTCAGGTAACTACCCCCGGATTACATAAAAACCCATACCCATTGCTCTTTGGATTTGCTTTTCAAAACAAGGGCTGTAGGTACGATCCTTTATAAAGACATTTCACTACTAAGACTTGGCTTTCCCCTGGGTTGAAAAGTGCAAAAAAAAAAAAAATGTAGTCTGGGGCATTATTAACAACCCTAGTTATGTCAATAAACTAGTTTTTTTTAACTAACTTATTCAAGCAACTGAGTAGTTTGTTTCTACTGAATTCAACCAGTATTTGTTTTAATTTTACCAGTTATTACTAAGTTGACATGACAATGTCAACCTTGAGATTAAACTAGTTTGTTTTTATTTTTGTTTTTTGAAGAGAAGTACCTTCAGGGCAGTGAGCTTAAGTATTATTTTATGTAAATTGTTTCTAAAAGGTCCATTAACTTCATATTACTATTGTCCTACTGCCATGGCACCATTTAATAAATATTCTAAATATGGGGAGATATTTATATATATATATAATATATAAACTTTTCCAATATTATATATAGGAAATCTCCCAAGATTATATTTATATGTATCTCTATATTAGAGATACATACATATGTAGATACACGCACAGCCTTCCACTGTGTGAAGACAAGACCTTTACCACCAAGATTACAGCAGACATATAATCCCAAATTGAACAACTGTAAACATGTGATGACTGGCAAACAGTAACATGATAAAGATTATAAATAGCATGGTTGTAATGGAGGTATCCTTACTCACAAGGATCCTAATCTCAGCATTCTTTTCCTACTTACCACCTCCCTCCATGTACACATGGTTCTACTGGATACTATAAGAAATAATATGAAACACTTTTCTGTCCAAAATAGGAAATTGTTGCAGATCCATCAAGTATCAGTGCCTCCAATTTCAAAACAAACAGAAAAACCCGCTTTATTATTCACGGATTCACAGACAAGGGAGAAGAAAGCTGGCTGTCCGATATATGCGAGGTGAGACGTGGTAATCTGGCAAGGAAAGGTTGTTTCCAGAGTGATAATTAACAACCTGTAAGGCACTGGCCATAACCAAGGCAGACAAAGGCTGGTCACCACAGCACTGAAGGATCCTCTAACCCCTGCTGGGCTTGAGGTTCCTAGGGGAGGTCCCAGAGGTGGTGGTGGCACAAGGGGCCCTAGGATGGTCAGGGCAGCTAGGTTGGCAGGCATTTGGTGGTTTCAGGCAGTGGTTATTTAATAACTAATACAGAGATGTTTCAAAATGTTAGCAACAGATACTGCCATACCAATGCATACCAGCTGGTCATAGGCCCCTGTTTTTTCATTACCTTTTAATTTCCATGTGAAGAGCTAAGCAATCTCATTTTATCTGAACTAATTCTTTTCCTCTGATTTCCACTTGCTACTCTTTGATCTCCTTTGGTAGCAGTATCTAGGAAAACTGTGTAGATTTTCATTTCTGGCTTCTGTTATTTCAACACCAGTGATCCTATTTTCTTCAATTTGCCTTTGACTAGATAATGAAGAATTAAAAGACAGAAAATCAAATAGCATAAATGATGCTAGTATTTCTGGGGGGTGATTACTGGGGGGAGGGTAATGACACATTTCTACACAATAGTGATGAAAAAATGTGATTTTTAGTTCAAAAGGAATATAGCTTTGTTAGGTATGTATATAGAATTTGCTCCCAAGATCCTGGAAGCAGTTGTGTTCTTCTTTTACTTGGCTTGGCTTTGACAAAATTACTGCATTAAGATGGAAAAACAATCAGATTCAAGTAGAAAGATAAAGGTCCTAGATTCCAGTCCTGACTTTCCCCTTAGTTGACTATGACGTTAGCCACCCTTTTCCCTTCTTCAGATTTTTCCTTTGGTAAAATGAAGGAGATGAAGATGATTTCTAATATTTCTTCATTATTCTCCAATTCTTTCTGGAGAAAGGTGGGGATATGTTTAAACACCCACTCAAACAAAATTTATACCAGAATTAACATTCATAAAACCCCCATCAAACAGGGTTTCCAGTAGATATCTGGTACAGTATGTTTTCATGTGAAATAACTCTTCAGTGATGTACAATACAAAGCATTCACCCAAAAAGTTTGATTAATCTTTCTATCACAGAAAACCTTACTACTTTCAATATATTCATTTAAGTGGTCTTAACATAGCCTTTCCTTCATTCAGCAAATATTTATTGAACACCTACTATGTTCCACAAACTAGACACTGAGGGTACAGCAGTGAACAAAACAGGCCATGTCCTTGTGTGCATCCTAGTAAGGGACGATGTAGTCTTATAACATTTAGGATGACCTAATGAACAACCCATTGTACCACATTTTACATATTTTATCTCAAATTAAATGTCTATGTATCTGTTACAGTAGAAATCCCAGGATTCCAGTTCCCATTACAGCCAAACCTCCAGCTTGGAGCCATATCCATAACAGACCAGAAGTTTTGTTCATTGCTTTGCGGTTAAAAGTGACATGATATTAAGTAGGTCAAGGAGGGAATTGATCTTTGTCCTCAAATGTGTTAATTAATAATCGATAAAGATCCTATATTATTTACCTATTTATTGTGTCTTCCATCAGAGACTGTTCGAGGTGGAAAGTGTGAACTGTTTCTGTGTGGACTGGAAAGGTGGCTCCCGAACTACTTACACACAGGCCTCACAGAATATCCGGATTGTGGGAGCAGAAGTGGCTTATTTTGTTGAAGTTCTTCAGGTAACTACCCCCGGATTACATAAAAACCCATACCCATTGCTCTTTGGATTTGCTTTTCAAAACAAGGGCTGTAGGTACGATCCTTTATAAAGACATTTCACTACTAAGACTTGGCTTTCCCCTGGGTTGAAAAGTGCAAAAAAAAAAAAAAAATGTAGTCTGGGGCATTATTAACAACCCTAGTTATGTCAATAAACTAGTTTTTTTTAACTAACTTATTCAAGCAACTGAGTAGTTTGTTTCTACTGAATTCAACCAGTATTTGTTTTAATTTTACCAGTTATTACTAAGTTGACATGACAATGTCAACCTTGAGATTAAACTAGTTTGTTTTTATTTTTGTTTTTTGAAGAGAAGTACAATACCAACCTAAACTGATTTGTTTATCAAAAAACACAGAAAATATTATACTTGAATGGTCTTAAGAAATTGCCTTCATTATTATTTTCTAATCCAAATACTTGCTTCATCATCTCTGCATGAAACTCCTCATGTCTATCAAGGATTCTCTCTACATAGTAGGAAAACGAAACAGATCCCCTTCCACCACTTTAAAAGTTAAGCCCATTTCCATTTTCCATTATAACTGTGAAAAAACCCCTAAAAGTCATTTTCTTTGAAGGGGCAGAGTGCCTTTTTAAAGCTCAAGTTTTTGGAGGTTCCCCTTCTGTGCCCATCTCGAATTCTGCAATATAGTCATGTACCACATAATGACATTTAGGTCAATGACAGGCTGCATATATGATGGTGGTTCCATAAGACTATAATGGAGCTAAAAAATTCCTGTGGCCTAGTGACATCACAGCAGTCGTGATGTTGCAGCACAATGTATTACTGACATGTTTGTGGTGATGCTGGTGTAAACAAATTTATTCTGCTGCCAGTCATATAAAAGTATAGCACATTCAATTATGTACAGTACACAGTACTTGATAATGATAATAAATAAATACGTTACTGGTTTATGTATTTACTAGACTATCCTTTTTAATCATTATTTTAGAGTGTACTCCTTCTACTTATTTAAAAAAAAAAATTAACTGTAAAACAGCCTCAGGCCAGTCCTTCAGGATGTAGTCCAGAAGAAGGCATTGTTATCATAAAGGACAGCTCCATGTGTGTTATTGCCCCTGAAGATCTTCCAATGGGACAAGGTG